CACTGCTCACCGATGACACTTTTTAGTGGCAAAACTCTAGTTACAAAAATAAATAATTCTATAGTGAAAACATTTTGCATTAAAAGTTCTTTTAAAACAGTGTTCAATTAAGATAATCTCGGAAAACCTTGTACACGCAGAGAGATCGGCATATAGGTGGGCGGACATATGATTCGAAACAACACATTATTTCCCTGTGTTGTTCTAAAATTCGTAAGAAGTGCTTTCACAGTAACAATTTTGAAATGCACGACCTATAAAAGACGACCTTTAAAAACAAGCTGGGAAAACTAAATCCGAAGAGGTGATAACCACTAAATGTTTGGGTTTCTTTAACTCCTTCAATACCAGGCATGTTTTATTATTTCACCATAGAAATCCTTTACTTTCGAGCGAGGCAATGAAGAGGTAAAAAGAAATTGTTCAACTCCTAGCACCAGGGTGGATTAAAACATGTTTACTGCTTCTACCTCCCCCTCCCCCTACCCCCACCAAAAAAATAACCCGAGACCAAAAAATAATAATTAAATCAACAAGTACGAAGTAACTGACCCTACATCTCACTGGAAATGCGTCACGTGAATCAATATGTCATTTCCGTGGACAGGAAAGTTAGGATGTTGGGTTAAAAAACGATAGGTGACACTGCTCTTTGTATTAGAGGTAATGTAGTACGACACTTACCCTTCAATACTAGAAATATATAAGGAACGTCTTGAAAAACAGAGCTGTTTTCCAAATCATGTTCATGTCTGCTCCGTTCAAGCGGTAAACAATGTATTAATTATTTACTTTGAGCTCTTGACTCTCATAACGTGAACTGTAAGTATACAACGCCGTACTTGAATTGAAGACATGCGAGCTTAAGCAATAAAATATAACAATAAAGATGATTTTGAACAAAATGTGCATGAATTTACTAATAAATATGCTTGATAAAAAAAACAAACGAAATAAAAGAAAACAAGCACATAAATGAATAAGTAACTTTTGTAATTACAAAAGATGTTTTGTTAAATGAGTCCTGGTTTACCATGTTTGGTGAGATTGCTTTGTCCCAAATTCGATTGTACTATAATTTTTAAAAATTAATAAATGCATTAAAAGTACAAATTCCCCCGCAACAGCAAGCTCTATCCGCTTTACAATCAATACAATTATCCCAGTAGACGTAACAGCGTTCTGAAACATTCTTAACTTCACGGGAAGTATACTCTGCAAGCAGCCCTTAAATGCGCTAAAACACTAACATACTGACTAGATCTTTCACTGTCTACGGCCAGGTAACCATGTACACTTGGGTAAAGTGAGGAAAATTGGTATTAAGTGCCTTTTCAAAGGACACAACGTCGGGCCTGAACCTGAACCTTACGCTTACGAGTCCGGTAGCCTAACCACTAAACTACTGACGCATAATAAAATACTCTACATGACAACACAATGTCTCTCATTCCAAATATTCAATATTTGAATCATTTGAATCGATACAACTGCCACTCCCTCATACGAATTGATCCGAGCAATCACGTACGTTTATGGCTTAAAATTTGGGAAAGTTAACCCTTGTCGCCGATTGCTATTTTCTTGTTATTTAGTGAGGGAGGGCGGAAAGAGTAGAAGAACAGAAGAGCACTTTCAGGGAACTTTCAAAGATTTCTAATTGGTAATTTTGTGGTTCCATTCTCCCAGCATGTGTATTTGATCTTCATTCCAAAACACAACTAAGTTTTCTCATTGAGATTATAAAAAGAGAGGCTGTTCTTTTAAGACGATCGTGATCATGTGTCAGGGTACTGATTGGTCTCTCTGTGTAAGTAACCGATATTCATTTTCTGAGCGTAAAGATGTCTGAAAAACAAGACATAGTACACCCTGTCCGCATGCAACACAAAACGGAAGGAAAGATATGAAAAGTAGTAAAAGGTCAGCAGGAAATTGTTTCCGTTTTCCTCTGTTGAACGTTTCAGTGAGGGAGACAAGGGTAAGACCTTTGTTCTCTTGATGTTTTTTTTTCTTTCAGAAAAAGGAAGGGGGCTTTTTTCAATTTGACACAGTCTATTTTTGTATTTCAGAACACAAGTATGACGTTCTTTCAGTCTGCAACAGTCGGTTACAAAGGAAAGTGTGAAGTCATGGATGGAAGATCTGCTTGGTAACGAGATAGTATTTTTACCTGAGCAAACCTGATTAGACATCGGCCTAATCGAAGTTCAAGTGCTAATTCATGGGGTAATAATACGATGATAGTAATGTCAATTATTATTATTATTATTATTATTATTATTATTATTATTATTATTATTATTAT